ATGCACAAGACTAGAAAAGGCAATGAGAGCACATTATTCCTCTTTCTCCCAAGGAGAAAGAATCAGACTTGCAGGCTCTATTCAAACAGATGACACCGTCCCAGCTCTTGGTTTCGGGCACATTTTCTATAAACATCTCATTTGGTTCCTGGGTATAATGTAGCCAAGCAAGTTAATTGCCATGTGCGAGGAGTTTGCGACATCGTCTGTAAGTGTCCTGAGTCGACGGATAGATCTACGGAGAGGTCGCAAACAGCCCTCAGACTCTTCCTCCTCCTCTGCTTTGGTCTTTTACTTCCACGCGAGCATCTCGCACTGTATCCCGGCCATCCAGGCGTCTTCGGTCTCAGCCCACTTGTGGACGGCGTCCAGAGTCTGCTGGATCTCGTCCTCGGTGATGCCCGCGTCCAGCCAGCTCTGGCGGAATAGGTCGCCCTGCTTCAACTGGCCCGCGGCGCGCCAGGCCAGCCACTTCCTGGTCTCGGGGCCGGCGAAGACGGAGGCCCCGGCGCCGATGCGGACCTTGCGGGCGTCGTCGGTGTCGAAGCCCACGCTGCGCAGCAGGGCGGGCATGCTCGTGGCGGGCGAGTCGACATCGTCAACGTTATCGGCCGTGACGCCGTGGCGCACAGCGCGCGCCGCGTTCTGCACCCACAGGCGATCGAGGCCCGAGGCGCGCGGGTAGAAGTGCTGCTCGGCGCCGTCGCGCGTGGCCAGCACGCCGCCGGGCTTGAGCACGCGGCGCATCTCGCCCAGCGCACGGCACGCCAGGTCCAGCGGCACCATGTGCCCGATCACCTGGGACGCGAAGACGACGTCGAACGTCTCGTCCGCAAACGGGAGCCGCTCGAGCACGTTGCCCTCCTGGAACACGACGCTGCCGGGGCCCGAGTCGGGGATCTTGGTCTCTGCCGCCGCCGCCACGGCTCTGGCCTTCTCCAGCACCTCCGCGGAGATGTCGATGCCCACGGTCGCACCTGCGCTAGCGTACCTGGCCAGTCCTGTCGTGATGGTCCCGGGCCCGCAGCCCACGTCGAGGATGTGGTCCGTCGTCTTGATGTGGGCGAGCAGGAAGCCGGCGTCCGACTCGGCCGTGCGCGTCAGGTGCGTCGCCACGGTGTAGTTGGAGTGGCCCTGCGTGTAGCTTTTGTTCGGGTTGTTTGGTTGCGCCATGCTTTCTTTCTTTCTTTCTTTCTTTTGTGTACCCTTCTCACTCGCTCTCTTGTAACTGTGTGTCGTCTTTCTCCCTCTTGTAAGTGTGTAGAGACCAGCTTGAGGTTTTGGCCTTGTTGCGACCCGAGCGACGCCCCAGGAATTTTTATACTTCCTCGAACCCAGCCGATTCTTGCCCCTATTAGAAGGCTGAACCAGTGCAACAGTTCCCCCACACAGAGGTTGACATCCCCCAAGAATGGAGATAGGGGGCCTTTTACGAGCACAGAACCCCGGGACCGGAGGGACTTTGACCGCCCTTGCATAAAATCCGGGCCGGTTAAGGAGACGGTAACGCGTCGTCCCGGTCGGCCTTCGGTGGAACGATCTCCGGCAGGGAGAGAAGCGACCTTGGAATTCAAGACCTGCAGGGACCAGCACAGGGCGGCTAGCCATATTTCTCGACGCCCGGAATTACTGTACTCGATGAAGAATGGTAGGTGAGTAGGTGAGAGATGGGGGAAGATCGTCATGGCGGGTCCCGGATTGTTCTCCTGCGCTGCGAGGTCTTTGGCTTGTTCTGTGGGTCTGTGTTGAAATGAAAACAGATAGAATGCATGAATGAACGAGTAGGTGCATGAGTGAGTGACTCTCAAACAAAGGCTCTTGTATTCCGCTGCCCTTGCGAGTGCTGTTGATTGAACTTGATATCCCGTTATCCCACGGACGACGACGATTGCCCATCCAAACCATTCCGAAACATCTCGCATCAGAAAGCAAGGAATTCCTCCCAATAGTAACTCTGCAACCTGGCTTGTTGAATTTGCCAAATGTGCTGCTGTAGCGACAATGCTTATCAAACCCTTTTCCTCTTCCCAAAACCGCAAATGTTGAAAAGTCCCTGTCGGTAGTTTATCCCACCCTTTCAGCCATTGGCACCTCCAGAAAAATGTACGCTCAAATTCATCAGTTCATTTGAAAGCCTCGTAAAACACTGTCCAGCTTTGTCATCATTTCCTCCCATTCCTGCTCCTCGTCGCTGAGCACAGTGATCGCTCCGCCGGCTCCAATTCGCCATTTCATCATCTTTTCGCCTGTACTGTGGTCCATCTCTGTCTGGTCGTCGTTTGAGAAGGCGGTGCGTATACACACTGACCAAGCGCCGTTGCCACCAACATCCATGTACCCGATAGCCCCGGAGTAGACACCACGCTCTCTTTGCTCCAGACGGTGGAGGATCTCGCAGGACCGCTTCTTGGGGGCTCCCGTCATACTGCCCGGTGGCAGCGTGCGAGTAAGTGCTCTCACGCCGTAACTAGTTATCTCTTTCGCGTGTTCGCTGGACTTCGGACCCGCTGTTGGGGAATGTGGAACGTGGGCACGAATGTGCGAGACGAGCGAGTAGACCGTTTCTGACTCGACCACATCACATAATTTGACCACCTCAACTTTCGCGTCACGGCCCACGGTGCTGTATAGGTCATGCCGGATAAGGTCTGCAATCATCAAGTTCTCGGCGCTTTCCTTCGCAGACGACAAGATCGCAATAGCTTTGGCAAGGGTCGTCTCTGGAGTTTTCTTGACCGTTCCTTTCATGGGGATCATGTCGATAGCGCCGTTCTCGGCAGACCAAGAGAGGAACTGCTCGGGCGAAGACGAGAGGATAGTGGTTTTGTGGAGGCGGACGAATGATGCAAAAGGAACAGGGTTGTGTTGTTGAATGTTGTTGTAAAGCAGCCAGGAGCCATCGGGGACAGCAGGTGTTGTGACAGTTGCCTCAGTAGTGAGACATAGTTCGTATGAGTTGCCAGCGAGAAGCTCGGCTTGACATTCGCGAATGCGAGAAATATACGTGTCGTGGTCCGGGAGGGCAAAGGTTGTCGAGGACAAAACCTGGCGCAATCTGTCGGTTTCAGAACGACTCAAAGCTGCTGTTACTTGGGATAGAGGCATAGTACGCAGCTCAGCGGCTACTTCATTGACCCAAGCGCTGTCGTTCTTCCTTATTGACTGCACGTGAGCCATCCCGGTATAATGATCAAAGACAATACTGCGTTCCACCCAGAGGAGGCTGAGCTCAGGCGTGGAGATCGGTATTCTGGTGTCTTCTGGCACATCAAGATGCAATGATGCTGTTCCAAATTCATACGACAGAAACCCCATGAAGCCACCCCTGAATGGGACTTCAGATGCAGCATGTTCTCGAAGAGTCTTGCTAGCAAGAAAAGCTTCCAGGCTTTCCACCAAATGTTCGCGAGCGAGCCGGTGATTGGTAGCAGGGCCGGACCCTTGTGAGAGCGTAGCACATCCGCCAGTATATTCCAAGTGAAAACTGCATTCGTCGGGGAAGGCGTATATGCTGTATTGACCCCTTTTGGTCGACTCCAGCATCACAGAAGCATTGGGCGGTGATCTTTGATGGCATAGATTGGCAATAGCCCTGCTCCCGAGCGGTAGATGTAGGGTGTTCTGACAGATGGTGCCGTTGCACGACTTTGAGAGTAACTCTAACTTTTCAGACAAGACAGTGCTCTCACAAGCAACAGCCAATTCCGCAAAACTGCGAGAAGGGGCCTCTGTGGCAGACTCAAGATCTCGATGGACAGCGTTGTGTTTTCTTGTACCATCCCACCACTGTTCGATGACCGTTTGGCAAGTCAAACTGGACTTGCACGATTCAGGGTGAAACTGGAAACCGTGAAACGCAAAGTGCTTGTGTCTGACTGCCATGACCCAGCCATCGCTATCCCAGGCCAGGACCTCCAGATTGTTGCATGTCTGGTATGGCGATAGTTCAGCCAAAGGGTCGAAAGGGCCTGACACAGTAGATGGCAGACTGCGTAGGGACAACATGCTCTCGCTCGAGGCAGAGGAACTTGGACGACTCGGGGATCCATTTCGCTTGAATGATCTCAGGTGAGCCCCTAAGCTATTGTAGTTTGTAGCAATAATGCTGCCTGAACGACAGAAGATATCCGTATCGGTGTGATATATCACCTTAGCGTGTCCGTGGCATGGCAGATCCAGGCGCACAACGGGGATTCCATGCTGAACACATAGGCTCTGGAAACCTAGACATATGCCCAACACTGGAATATTGTCTTTGGCGGCACAGGCCCAGACCTTGTTGTAGAGACCAACATCTGACTCATTATGTGGATTTCCCGGACCAGGACCAAGGACTATTGCATCGAACCTGGCAAAGAATGCCTGCGGAGAGCGGTTGAATTGGGTCGGGATATCACAATCGATCTTGACCACAGTGACTTCGACTTGGAGGTGCTCATGAAGAAGAGCAACTATATTCTCTGCGAATGAGTCGTAGGCATCGACAAAGAGGATCGACCCTTGAGATGGCATGGATACCGTCTAAGCCAGTTTGATTGAAGTAGAGAAATTGTTCCTTTCACTTATTGGAGAACGACAAATAGTGGCACAGTCATAGACCCAAGCCAGAGACACCAAAAGAAACCATGGACAGAGTAGAAACAGACAAGTAAAAGAAGACCTACCTCCCCCTGTCTACGAAAACAACCATCGGGAGAAGATGGCGATCTCACAGTCATTCCGACCCGTTTTGATGCTGCGAGGATGAAATTTTGACAACGAATCAAAATGTTTTACCGGAGGCGCCAAGACGATCATCTGCTCCGCCGTAGCGAAACATTAACCGCCACGCCCTTTTTGGACACAACCACATGCACTATCCCGGCCAATCTTCACACCCAATAGATGGCTCATATCAGAAAACAGTGAAGTGTGCGTGGAAAAGGACACGATATTGGCGCCGGTGGGCTTCTTCAAGACCCGCTCAAGATGACCACACCCGCTCTCGAGAATCAGCAATCATGGCCGACCTCAAAGACGACCTGACCGAGAAAGCCCACTTCGACCCTAATTGGATCGCCTGGAATGGAGGGACCTTACACTCGAATAATGGTGAGCGACGAGCTACTTACGGTGTTCTGGCCACTGACTTCTTTTCTCCCAGTACTCTTCTATTTCGCGACGTCCCCATTCTTTGATCATGTCTCGGGCAACCAGTCGCTCTTCACCCAGTGGGCGGGCACGCCAAACCAGAATGACATCCTCGGCACGAGGGCGAAATTTGAGGCCAACCTGCGACATCAGCGCGGTATCCAGTATGTCGTCGAACATGATCCTCTGGAGGAGCAAGTTGTCCTGGACGGACCGAACGGGCCCGAGAAGTCCAATGTCTGGGTTATTCGCAAGCAGAACCGTGAAAATGAGCGAGACGACAGCATTACGATCTTGGGCTACTACTACATTGTCAACAACGTAATCTATCAAGCGCCTTCAGTTGCCAGCGTTCTGAACTATCGTCTGGTACGTCCGAATCCTATATTTCGAGTTGACGCTGTATTGACTTGAGCCCATGTAGCTGAATACGGTTTCCGCGCTTAGCAAAGTATTCACAGCTCCAGCAGACCTATCCTTCTTTTCAGTCGCTCATGGCCATACTTACCATAAACCTATCCAGCAGTCGGCACCACAAAATATCCTGAGTGCCTCACAGCAGGGTAATGAACCACCGCCAACACCAGGATCAGCACCGGCGCCTCAGCCTGCTACTACCGAGAAAGCTGCAGCCCCTCCCGAAGCACAGGAGGAAACCAATGGCGGGAGTCGAACAGCTTGGGATGCGCTTCGATTGACATTGCAGTTCGGCAAGGAATACGTGGATGAGCTTCCACTAGTGGGCGAACCAGGAAACTTCCGATTCTCGAAGAGCAGAGATGCCAATATGACAGCTGGCCAGACCAGAGGTCAAGGCCTAGCCACTCCTACCGGAACCCCTAGTCAATCCCGAGCAGCTTCGGCCATGCCTGTGACATCTAGCAACCAGCCTGCGGGTACCAAGGGCACTAGGGCGCCAGAAAAAATTGTGACGCTATCTGAGGGAGCAGCAAAGGTGAAACGGAGAAAGAGTAAACCAGGCGAGCCCAGCCCATGAGGCTCCAGCGGTGTAGCCGTGCGCGTACACTTCAATCGGATGATAGGAGGTGTGATACACGCCGCTACACAGATGCATCTCTTTGGGTAGTGAATTGATTGCAAAATCAAACAAGCTTGATGACTGCCTAGCCATTCAGTCGATCAGAATACATCAACAGTAGCAGACACCTGTCATAGCAAACCTGACAGGGCCAGGGGGGTTTGCGGTCACGTGGACTCCAGTTTTACAAGGCTCCCTCATGTGGCAGGCAGCGCGAGGCAAGCGTCACCAGCCTGCGACCTGCGACCTGCGATTTGCGACCCTTGACGCTTGTCCCCTTCGCCGCATTTGTTCATCTTGTCTTTTACCTCAACTTGAACATCCCTCCCAAAAAAAAAGAGGAATCAGGCCACTCATTTTCTTTGAGTGCCATCTTCGTTATCTTGACTTCTTTCTTATCAACTGAACCCTAGAGTCCTCGACCCTGTGACATTCCGCTGACCGAGTCCAAACACTTTACTGTGTGTGGCGGGGCAAGATGAAGCTCTCCTTCAGAGTCCGTATATCTAGTCCATCGCTGGTTCGACAGTCCCTAATGCCCGTGACAGGATCTCAAGCAGCAAAAGTTCACGATCGATGCCGAGCCATCGGACACAGTACGCATTTTGCCCTTCCCCAACTACCTGAAGCAGACACAGGCTTACCCCATCTGGTCAGATCGCGCAGGTGAAAGAGAAGATTGCCGCAGAGAAAGGATGGGAGTCCTCGCAGCAGAAACTCATCTATGCTGGTATGCAAATCCCTCCGCCTCCTCCATGCGATTCCCCTTGAGATATCTGACCTCCAAACAGGCAAGGTCCTCGCCGACGCCAACACTGTCGAATCATACAAAATTGAGGAAAAGGGTTTCATTGTTTGTATGATATCAAAGGTTGGTCTTCATGCTATGTTTAAAGCTATAGTGCACTGATGGCGTGTTCACTTTAGCCAAAAGCTGCTCCTGCGGCCAAGTCTGGCAGTCCCTCTACGCCAGCTCCGTCAACCTCGACCTCGACCTCCACACCCGCCGCACCAGTTGCTCCTCAACCCAACCCGTCTACAGTTTCAAATCTACCCTCAACGCCCACGCCTGCCCAAAGCACAACCACGTCGGCCGCCGCTGGATCTGGCTTCAACGACCCATCGGCGTTCCTGATCGGGAATCGCAACGAAGCGACCATTCGTGAGATGGAGGCCATGGGATTTCCCAGGCCAGAAATAGACCGTGCACTACGGGCGGCTTTTTTCAACCCAGATCGAGCCATCGAGTATCTGCTGAGTGGTATCCCCGATAACATTCAGTCGGAGCAAAGACAAGCGGCCACGGGAGCCACCGCATCGAATCCGGCATCACCCCCTGCACCCCAGCCTGCTCAGCCTGCTCAACCCGCCCAGCCCGCGCAAGCCGCCTCGCCTACTGGGGACGAGCCCATCAACTTGTTCGAAGCGGCAGCACAGGCCGGTCGGCCAGGAGGTGGAAGAAGAGCCCCAGCAGGAGGTCAAGGAGGGGTAGCGACAAACATGGATTTCCTGCGAAACAGCCCGCACTTCCAGCAACTCAGACAATTTGTCCAGCAGCAACCTGCGATGCTCGAACCTATCTTGCAGCAACTTGCCGAGGGTAATCCCGAGCTTGCACAGATGATCGGTTCAAATCAGGATCAGTTCCTTCAGCTGCTGGCGGAGGTGAGTACAAGAGACCAGGTTTCGAAACCGGCGGGGCTGACTTGACTCTGTAGGATGCTCAAGATACTCTCCCGCCTGGAGCAACCCAGATCCATGTGACCGAGGAGGAGCGAGACGCTATCGAACGGCTCTGCCGGCTTGGCTTTCCCCGTGATCAGGTCATCCAGGCCTACTTTGCTTGTGACAAGAATGAGGAACTAGCTGCGAACTTCCTCTTCGAGCAGCCTGATGACGAAGAGCAGTGATTCTGGGAATTCCATCGCCATTAGCGCCATATCATCACAACTGGGGTTTGAACTCGAAAGCGGAGTTCTGGTGGCGTGCGCAATACTTCTTTGGATGGTCTACGTCTGACATCAGGAGTCGACGACCGATTTGGTCGCTCATGAGCATGAGGAGAGAGCCTTTCGAGCCTTTTGATGGTGATAATGGGGGTATGCTAGAGGCAACGACAGAGATGATCATGTGCTGGGAAGCCCACGCCAGTTATGCATATTCCAGGACATAGTGCAAGTTCACCTCCCGGTGCCAGTCAAAGTCCCATAGCTAGTCAAGCCAAGTTTTCATGTCTGATGGAGCAACCAAAAGGCAAGCAAGCGGGCGACATGGGCTACAAGCTCCAGGCCCGAGACAATCCACCCTACAACACTTCCTGCAGGTAGATCAAAGGAATGAATGAAGAATTACCCCGTCGACCATCCGCCAGGCAATTTAAGGCACTTTGTTTCAATCCCCTGAATTGGAAGTAGAGACTTGTGACATCTACAGACCACACCAATCGCAGTCGATTGCGCATTTGCTTTAGAACGTTTGTGGACATTCCTATCCACCACCAGGGAGAGTTCCCAGTACAATCCACGGCCAGGGCCTCGCTCTTCAGAGATCGAGGCTGGGATCATCTGTTGGACTATCTGGGGTTACTGTGGTCGTGCTGACTCTCCTCTGGTCTTGTTCTTCAGGCGCCGCTGTGGTGTGAATCATGGCCGAACTTGATACCCTGCCGGCGTCTTCAAACGAGTCTGCCTCTTGAACCAAATCCTCCCGACCCTCGTTATTTTCTGCCTTCCTGACATTTACTTGTTCCGCCGTAAGCTTCTCCCCCGTGTGTGCATCCACGTACTCCACGGGGCCGCAGATGCGGTCGACCCGCCACACGCCCAGTCCTCGTCTACCCACGACTCTCTCCAACGTAGGCCAAACTCCATCATCCCCAAAATCCAAGTCGTCAAGATTCAAATGTCGGCGGAACACTGCCAAATTCGTCAAGGTCAACTGTGCAGGTGGAATGTTCATATCAATTGCGAAGCTAAAATTGGAGACCGGAGGATAGGTGAATTCCGCCTTCTGGACAGAGAGATGGTTGGAGGAAGTCAGGAGAGGGTTGGAAGCATCAAGACGCCATGCGCTGAGTGGCGCCACCACAAAGATATCCGTCTTCTCTTTGTGTAAGATCAACCGTTCCACAAGTGTTGGATCGCACGTGGGCATGTGCTGCATGAGCATGAAGACCAATTCATTTTGAGGGTAGCCCATCAGGGGAACGGTGGAGATGTTCAGCGATCTGTTGGTCGTAGGATGTAGTGGGTCCGAGCCGAGAAGGAAGGTTGGCGGGGGGTAAGTCTTCCACCAGAAGATTTCAACATTATGGGCGTCCGAGTGGGTTGTGTTCAATGAGTGTGTTACTAAGGAAGGCATAGCAAGTTGAGCAGGGATGATTCCACCCTGGTGATATACGCCCATAAGGATTGCGAGAACTCCGTTGAAAATTACCCAAGTAGTCCAGAAAAGTATCGCCCTTATCTTAGAAGATGGAGCACGAATACTTGTCAGTATGAGAGGGACAGCGGGTAGGAGGAACCGCGGTTCTTGGTGCGGGATTAAGCTGAGGAGAAGACATCCCGCACCAGCAGAGGCGAGCCGATTATTCGAGAGGAGTCCCTTCAGAATGCGAAGATTGAACGGGTAGACAGAGGCGATTAGGAGGATAAACGCTGGGCCGAGAAGTTGAGGCAGGTTGATCAGGATGTGTTGATAATGGGGATGAAGACCGTGTTGCGCAAGATTGCTGGTCTGTGTGTTGTACAGTAGATTATTGAGAGGAGTGATTACTGGACTCTTCCAAACATGGTCGTAGAGTGCACGGAAAGACCTCGTGGCTGACGGGCCAGAATAGTAGGCGGTGTCGATTATGATTGCGATTAGTGTCCAGAAAATGCCGGAAAGTGAAAGGGCAAGAAGGCAGAAAGGTCTCAAATCCATGTCAGCATTGTAACTCGAGGCAGCTGGGCATCAAGGTCGGGTATAATCGACCCAGTACTCACCTATTCCAAAAATGTGGCAAGAGTTGAATGCCGGGTATCACGACGAAGGCGGGAAAAGTAACCCGATTAAAGATTCCGAATACAAAAAGAAACCCTAGGACCGCACTCGAGGCGATTGCTGACCGTTTCTTGACCACCTCCGTCAGTACATGGTCTATCAATGACCGCGGCAGGTCACATACCTTGTCGCGCAAAATGCGCTCTATCATAACCAGGCTCCACAAAACAAGAAGGGTTTCAACGGAATTTGAAAAGGTATGTGTTTGAAAGGTCCAAGTCACATAGGAGGAAGTGACTAGAATGACGGCCTGAATCCAGCGTCGAGGAGAGCGGACCAACTCATGAACAGCCCAATCCTCCAGGACGAAACTGAGAAGAAACATGACGAGGCGGAGCGTATAATAGATGACGGTGGTATCGACACAATCTCCATCTTCTTCCTGCGCCCAGGTCCATTTCAAGAGGGTCATGGGCAATCCATAGATTGGCCACAATGGAAAGACACTGCGGATAGGGCGCGAAGACGTCCATTCCCATGTTGGACGAGTCGGATAAGGGAATAGGTACGCTGCACAGAAGACGTCAGCATTGCGAAGTACTCAGAGAGATTCACCGATGCGTACCAGCGACAGGCTCTGGCCCTTGGAAGATCTCGTCGGGGTGAAGATAACTCGGCGACACGGCAAAATAGACACGGATAAACAGCAAGAACAAGTACAATAACCGCCACATCCTTTCTTTTGATGCAGTCACCGCGCTGGATACGGTATGAACAGTGTCATTGTTCTTGGTCTTATACAAGGTGTGAGCCACTCCCTCCAACTCATTCTCAATTGTGACCGGGTGGTGCGTGAGCGCGTCTCTCAACGCGTCACTTTGCGCAGGCGGGAAGCAAGGAAGGGACGTTGTCGCAACCTCTTGACGAGGCTCTTAAGAGCACAGTTAACGGTACGGAGTGAGGATTATCTCTAAAAGCAAACGCAAAAGGACAAGAACAGGAGAAGATAAGGTTAGTGGTGGGAAAGGAGTGAGACTTCGTATGTCTGCATATTTCAATGCTGCTTCTACAAACGGGTGACGTCGGGCCGGCTTGTCATCACGTGACAACCATTTCCAGGGCTGGTGCAGACAAGGATGTGCTCTCTAGGACAGGGATTAATGGAGCTGTCGTCTGTGAAGATGTCAAAGGAGATTGAACGAGAATTGATTCGTCACAGGATCTGAACATCGTTTGGTGGTGTGGACTAACATGTGCCCAAGTTTGCGGCACAGGCACTGGGCATGCACTGGCCCAATTCACATCTGTCTAGATTCACAGAAACCCATTCGTTTTTTCGGCACAATAATCACATCTACTTCAATTTTCTGATATAGCGACAGCATAGAAGTTTAGCTGAGTTGCTTCACCACCTAACACCGCCCTCGCTTGAACTGTCACGCTCGTCTTTGTCACACAAAGGCAGGTCCAACTATTGTTTCCAGCCAGGAAGAAGGCAAGGCCCCAGCCGCAGATCCGCACAGGCATCCTTGTCCCTTGGCAATGACGGTTGCAGCCCTTTCCCTTCACTGCGCAGGCAGAGTCTTTCCGTCCTCAATCGTGACTCTCTATCCTACATCTATTGTTCTCGAACCTCATCTGTTTCTTTCAACTCTTCGCTAGTTTCCGCTTTACTCTACATCTGTACTGTTACGCATCAGCCCTTCACACCAAACAGAGGTTGACTCGAGCCCTGTCATAGTCATCGTGCACAACCAGCCCCGCACTACCCTTGCGAACAAGTCTAAAGTCCATACTGCACAACATGTCGTCTGACAACTCCAAAAAGTTGGTTCTCCAGAGCTCTGATGGCGAGGATATCGTAGTTGGTGAGATACATCTCAGTACAACCCCTATGCTGCTTCTCTCAACTGACTGTTCCCAGATCGTGATGTTGCCGAGAGATCAATTCTCATCAAGAACATGGTCGGCGATCTTGGTGAAGATGCCATGGAGGAGGCTATCCCCATACCCAATGTCAATGCCGCTGTCCTCAAAAAAGTGATCGAGTGGTGCACACATCACAAACATGACCCTCCTGCAACCAATGAAGACGACTCAGATTCGCGTAAGAAGACGACTGATATCGATGAGTGGGATCAAAAGTTCATGCAGGTCGATCAAGAAATGCTTTTTGAAATCATTTTGGCGGCCAACTATCTGGACATCAAGGCTCTGCTTGACGTTGGCTGCAAGACTGTCGCCAACATGATCAAGGGCAAGTCGCCAGAAGAGATCCGCAAAACGTTCAATATCCAGAACGACTTTACTCCGGAGGAGGAGGACCAGATCCGCCGCGAGAACGAGTGGGCCGAAGAGTGAGTTTCCCTTTGTGGGTGAGTAGTTCTGGAGACTGACTTTCTTAGTCGTTGATCAACTCTGTGGCTTCATCTACAGACTAGCATACTTCGACGGCGTTGGAGGCGTTCGATGACGAAGCATGATGGAATTCAGATAACTGGGGGAGACCATCGAACTGGTGGCGCAATTAAAATACTTTCTTTTATTGCATCTCATGCTCGGTTCATGATGAGCCCAATGGACTGCTTTGACAGCCACGACCGGAGCTGGGAGGTACAGGTGCATGCACTGAAATGAAGGTACGACGGGTGGCGGAAGTCATGCAGGTTCAGACTGTCATGCGAAACACGTTCTGCACATGAACGAATCCCACCTGAACCGATGAGCAGAGTCTCGCGGGCATAGTATCTGACACTAACACATAGACTCTGTGACTGGGACGTGCAGCGAGGCAGTTAGAACGGAGCACTCTTTTGAATCGATTCTTTTGATTTTGAATTCTCCTTTACACGTGGCCTCCATGCAAGTCTCTGGAGCGCGTTGCAGTTTCATGCATCTTGGGATCGTGGAGAGGATTCTGGAGTAAGGTCACGACGAATTCCCCTACCCTCAGCATTGAAGCCCTAGCATTCCTTGAATCCGACCTCCCAAGGCTTCTCTCGTCCCCATTCTCCCCCGGCTCCGACCTCCCGACCTAGCAACAACCCTTCCTCCAATCCTGGCCCTATTTCAGTGCTGAAAACAATTGCCCCACTGTGAGAGATGGGTGAAATGCGTGATCGAATGACAGTAATTTCCGAAAGACGAGTTCTGGAAATCCAGGCTGAGGCATGGAGCGATGTGGTTGTTCTAGGTGATGGGTAATCTAGATGCCGATTCTGGTCTTGCGCCAGTGCCTCCTCTTCGCGTTGTATCTGTAGTTTGTGAACAGAGAATGTTAGCCATCATTTCTTCTAACCCAAGGTTTGCTTCTCCGGCAACTCCTCGCATCTCAATAACAAATGATAACGCTGGTATCATATGCTCGCTGGGATTTCATGCTGGCCCTTTCCTTATCGATCCCAATTATCCGTCTTTCCTCAGAGTAACAGAAAGTTGCAGAGAAATATGCACAGCAACTTCCCACATCTTGCCAGGAAAGACCATCTCCTGCCCATTTTATTTACCCGAAACACATGGGCCCATGCCACCTCCAAAACCCCAAAGATATTTTGATGGAAGGATGTTTTTTCTCTTTCTCAAGTGTGGGCGACTGACCTGATGGTATTTCCCGTCCTCAAACGAATCCACTGGGGGATGGGTCGATTCTGCTTCTGCGCTCTCGCGAGCTTCTGCTTCGTGCGGAAGGATTTGTGGCTCTGTAGATGCTTCGGTCAGTTCATGGTCGCTTTTCATTTCCCCTGTGACATGTATGCACAATGCATACGCGGTTGGGTTGAGGAGGCAGATGTGTTTCTTTCCGGGAGGGGGAGTTTCAATATGATCACACTGGGAAAGTGTTTCGTTTCGACGTCTTGTATCGCACAATTGTCTGGGAGTGGTCTCAGGGAGCACGTACCGGCATCTTGATTGTCTTCTCAGTCCAGTGACGAAGTCGTGGATGGAAGAGAAATCAGGTAGCTTTGTTGGAAGTGGTCAGTTTTCTTGCGTACCGACTTGACTTGACTTGGCCGAATTGCCCGTAACCAAATTTCGCAGCCCGTCCCTGTGGGCTTGGCATTTCGCCAAGATCTGTCTGCTGCATTTCGGGTCACCTGCCGTTGTTGGCAGACATGGACTTCCGAGATGATGCCGTCACCTTCTTACGCCGCCACTAGCCGCTGCCGCTCATTGCTCGGGGAATTTAGGCGTCTGGCTTGTCGGTTCCGAGGTTTGGAGTCGAGGACTCTCCGATTGCGGGTGTCTCTCTCGAGTCAAGATTTATTGGAACATCGAAGGAGCTCTTACCCAACCACAACTATTCCCAAGTAACTCTCAGGGTGTCAGCGTGCCTTCTAAAAAAAGTTGACACTTGGAGAACATTGCATGTTCTGACGACTCCTGCATTGTGTTCCTTGTCGAGCAAAAGGAAGAAAGAGGGGACGTAGGAGCCCAAAGATGTCGTCGAAGCTCAGGATATTGGTCCCTGTCAAGCGTGTCATTGACTATGCTGTGAGCACCCTCCACCGCCTATGCATGTTTTGCAGCATATAATCACCACCTCCGCTGTCCTTATCGCCTGTCCCGCTTCTCTCGTGTACTTCACCATGTCATACTGACCCTCTTCCTCACAACACAGGTCAAACCCCGTGTGAAATCCGACCGCACAGGCGTCGAGACCTCCGGGGTGAAGCACTCTCTCAATCCCTTCGACGAGCTCTCCATCGAAGAAGCCGTCCGGCTGCGCGAGCGCAAACAACCCGTCGAAGAGATCCTGGCCGTGAGCGCCGGCCCGGCGAAATGCGCCGACACCCTGCGGACGGCCATGGCCATGGGCGCAGACCGCAGCATCCTCGTCGACGTGCCTGAAGATAAACCCCTCGAGCCGTTGAGCGTGGCGAAGCTGCTGAAGGCCATCGCCGAGAAGGAGAAGAGCAACCTGATCATCCTGGGGAAACAGGCGATCGACGATGACGCCGGCCAAACGGGCCAGATGCTCGCGGGCCTACTGAACTGGCCGCAGGCCACGCAGGCGTCTAAAGTCACGATCGAGAACGAGACGGTGACGGTCGAGCGCGAGGTCGACGGCGGAGCAGAGACGGTGCGGGCCAAACTGCCCATGATCATCACGACGGATCTCCGCCTCAACGAGCCGCGGTACGCGAGTCTGCCCAACATCATGAAAGCCAAGAAGAAGAAGCTGGAGAAGAAGACGCTCGGAGACTACGGCGTCGACGCCACCAACAGGTTGAAGACCGTCAAGGTCGAAGAGCCTCCCGTGCGACAGGGCGGCGGCAAGGTCGAGGATGTGGACGGCATGATCAAGAAGCTCAAGGACTTGGGCGCCATCTAGATTACCTTTTTGAGGGAAAGAAAAAAAGTGACGCCGAATTGATCTACCTATCTCTAAGCTGCCATTTTATACAAATTCTAAAGCGGGCGGCGGGGGAAAACAAGAACTACACTACTGTGTCATGATGGTGGGACGAGGGACAATGGTCGTACCGTAGCTACAGGACGTACACACATGGATCTGCTTTGGAGGCCTGGTTCTCGGCGAATCGGCATGGGGTGCAGACGATCAGCTATTGGCATTGTATACATATGTAAAATGCATGGCTTCACGTCTCCACACGCGTCAGAATCGCCCGTTTCAAAGCTCATTTGTATTATGACAGCCATGAGCCATTCGGCCTTCCAAGCTCTCTGCCTCTTGCAGCAAATGCTTTCTAGTGTCTGTAGCGTCTGTACCAAGCCTGTGCCTGCCATACAACGCCAACGCTATGCTGTGCTGTGCTCTGTCGCACTCAATAGAGGCAAGCCATCCCAGCCCATCACCAGTTCCATCTCAATCCCATTCAGTCGTCCATCCATTAGCCATGAAGAAAGCATTTCCTGCGCTGTGTTTTGTAAAATTTGGTGGTGCCTGTCAATTTTCAGACAATGAAAATCCATTTGCTGGGGAATGTTCAAGTTTGGGTCGGAGTGTGTCTTGCTTAGACAGTTCCAGCAATGGTTAAATCTCGGATCTCTGAGAGAACTTGCTCGACGCGGTTATCCAGGTCTCCACGTGCATATTGTTCTCTAGTTTCTGGGTCCAAGTACTGCTGCACCTGTGCCATGCGGCTGTAGGCTTCTGCGCAGAACCGGAGTTGAATTTTGACTAGCGCTTCAAAGCTAGGGTCGAGATAGGGAACACGGAGATCGATAAGTTGGGGAAGTTCAGTAAAGAGTTGTTCGTTGAGTTGTTCGTATGCTTGCTTGGCCATTTCTGCTTCTTTTTCCGCGCGAGGTAGTTTGGTAACATCCTTGTCGGGTTTCTCGACCAGTTTTTTGACCTTGGAACGCATGGAATCATAGTCCAGGAGTTTGTTATTTCGTTTCTTGATGCATTCGTTGATGTCAGGGAAGTATGCGCAGAAGCGGGAGATCGGTTCAAGCACAGTTGCTCTGTCAACATCGTCAGTAAGCGCGGTGCATATTGAGCAAGGGTGAGAGTGACACGTACCGGTATGGACCATCAAGCGCTTTGATGGTTTCGGCGTCTAAATCTTCGACGGCCTGCTTGTAGGATCGCGAAACTCCATCTCTGGTACCAGCGTCGCCGTAGAATGCGTCGATCGTCTCTGCTATCCTCATTTGGGATGCTGTCATGGCTGAATGAAGCGCAGTCAGTTTCTAGAGCCATTGACCATGAATTCAAATTCAACTCACCTCGCAGACTGTCGAGATAACCTTTCGCTTCCTTCTGCAGCCGATTCGCGGCCGATTCCATCGTCCGGTACCTCCTGTAACATTGCCGTTAGTTGTAGTTCTGTTCGCTTTCAGATGGGCTCCGCTCTCACCTCTCCTCGACCTCGTAGTCTCGGTCGTTCGTCCTCTCGACTTGGCCTAGATGACATGGTCAGCGCACGGCTGCCACTGATTCTCAAATGACGCTTACCCGTCTTCATCATCACCTGCGTGGTGGCGCGGTTCACGCCCTTCTTGAATCCGGCCCACGACATCGCGCTGGTTGAGATAGGTATTCCAGTTTCTGAACAGGCGGCGGTTGTATTCGGTGGCCGACTCAAACGCAAGTGGGCCGTCCTCAATCGTGTTGAGGAAGAGAAAGAGAGAGTGGAAGGTGAGATCAAGCGTGATCCAATTAGTGCCGTTCAACATGCGCCACCAGGCCGCATGGACTGCCGTATAATCGGCGCCTAAACTGCGCCAGCGGCGCCCCCGATAATTCATGACGTAGTTTGGGGGACGGAAAAACGATGACGCGAGAGTACGGCGAGGCATCTTAAGTAGTAGTGCAGAAGGTGTGCGTGGCGGCTTGGCATGACAAGATCCACTTTACACTTGCTCCTCTATCGGACTCCATCATTGGAGTGCCATCACTGTCATTTGGGCCGGTGGGCTTTCCGACATCAAATGGGCCAGACAGAGTCAACAGTACACAGCATGTATCTGTCCAAAACGCCCTGAAGAAAATCTTTCATTTACACGGGCTCCAACTTGGTCGTCAAACATTCAAGATAAAGGAGCAGCCCTCTCCTACTACAACGGTGTTCATTTGGTGCTGAGCACTTCAAACGCCCTTCGGACATTGTGAACAACGCCCTATCCGTCTCTGAAGTCCTGTTCATGAACATTGATCAAAACTCCCGGGCTACTATGATTATTAACTAGATGCCACGGCCCTTTGTCTGGGTGCAGATCGTTGTCAGAATGGTCATAAATAGTCAGGATAGTTGGATGTCTCGCGTCTTCTTCTTGCTCATGCATATTTATGTCGTCCCCAGGGACGATGATACCAGTGCGAGCGGGCCGGTGTTGGTCGCAAAGAAGGACGTTGTGTGAGGATGGTTGGATCACCCGACACAGTGTCATTGCAGTCTATTGACCCTGGGAGCACTTTGAATTCAAGCTGGATTAGAAGGCAGCACAATGCATATCCCCTTGTTTGTTGGCAAACACCCCTCAAAACATATCGAAATGCCTGAACAGTATTCGGCTTTCTCCTTGTTGAATGTCTGGAGACGATTGAAAGGGACGCTCATATCGTATCGAGGTAAGAGATAGCGCTAGCGGTTCGGTATGAGGAGCATATGGATAGAAACCACAAGCAACTGCATTGATATTAGCTCTACAACGTGTATTCAACGGAAGTGGAAGCAATTGATCCTCGTCCGAACTTCAAATTCTCCTTGTGTCACTGTACCCCTTTGTTCCTCTTCCTCGGTGAATAGGGTGCAAGTTCTGCGGTGCATACTGTGCTCGTGCTTGCTTGAAAACCATCCTGAAGTCTGAAATGAACTTACTTGTTGCGAGTGTTTGCAAATGCCGGGTGAGAAGCCACTGAGACAGGACAATCGTGGATTCTGGCGAGTCAGGATATCAACAAGATCTCGTAACCTCTCCTGCTTATACATGTACACAAGTATCCAAGCCCGGTAACCAAGATCAAAATAGTCCACGCAGGTGATGAAAGCCGAGCAGGGGACTCATTCGGGGATTGGGCAGTAAAAAGACGAAAAGGGAGGAACTCTTCGAGGTGAGGATGGATACGAAAGGGCAAAGTCCCTCGCGCTCGCATGTCCGCCCTCGGGTCAGCGACACGACAGAGCCGGCATCAGGGTGCCTGCTCCCATGTCCCCTGTGAACTGCTATCGAAACCCCTCGAAAGTCTCCCTGAACAAACATCCTATCATCAAGGGAAACGACGAAATTGGACCGGTCTAACTCGAGCATCACCGAGGCACACTCTTCTTTGCGAGCCGGATCCAGATCGAGATGGCTGGGCGCCGCAGGGTGGCCATGAAACACACCTCCCGAGAGCTGGTTGTCCACCTAGAAAGTGTAGAAATGCGGTGTACCAGGTACTGCACAACTTGTCCCTCCTGAACGTCAGTGCGAGATTAGCCAGGCTGTTCATCCCCTGCTTTTTTGCGGCAAGTCTTATCTTCCTTCACGGGCTCGGCTAGGTTAGTGATGAGCTGGAATGTCGTGTTTCAACAGTCTCGCAGAAACGAGATGTTGTTCTCAGACCAACGACTGACGATCACCGCTGTTATGATCAGTCTCAAGGTGAAGATCAGGATTTCCTCGTGCTCAAATGAGTGGTGCATTTCTCACTCGATTCGCATGCTGGAATGGTCGAGATGCAGGGCCACTCATTCGACGAGATGCGCCAGGGGTGCAGCCAGGGACGTGGTCCAGCAGAAGGCAACAGGGTGGGTAAAGCCAGCGGATATCCAGTTCGGAATGAAAGACGGAAGAGAAAAATGGGACACGCCTTGCTCGGCAGTCAATGAGATAGATACAACGCACACAGGCATGTCCCCACGCGTCCTCAGCTGTAGAGGTGGTCCGGGAATTCACGATGGGCGCGTGCTTTGATGGCCAATAGAAGAGCCACCAACATACCCCATCATCTACTCCTCTTCCACAGTGAATGCGGAGGCGGCTACTCCCTTGCCAAACATACCACCCGGCGATATAGCGGCTTAGAAGAACGGTCTTGAGTTTTGCCGGGGTTAAGTAGGCAAGGGAACCCGAGGAGAGGGGACTCGAGTACCGAGAGAATGCACCGCAAATACCCTCGGAGAGCAAGGAGGTTGAATGAGAGCCGGGTCGAGCATTGATGGCTAAGATTCACATGTCAATCTCCTTGATATCCCATGTGGCCATCTATGGCACATGGTGGTAGGGACAGATTTCGAATTGAACGGTGTAGGAAACGAGCACATGTCTGCTCCAAGCTCCAAAACATATGGAAAAGAACAGTGCATTGCGAGAATCGGTGAGACGGTCACCGTAGACACAACATCCGAGATGGAGCCGCTCGCCAGCACATGCAGAGGGACGGAGGTCGTGCGTGGTCGTGCCGCTGGACTGGGTTATGGGATCCGAGGCTTCAAGCGGTGAGACGGTCTAGGGACGAGAAGATGGGACAGAGGAAGCCAAAGTGGCCCCCTGCGGGAAACAATTGATGACAGGAGAAAATGACGAACAAGGTGCAGATGGAGCTGCAGCAGTCAGAATCCAAGAGTGGAAAGCATCCTGGCGAGCCTCGCTATTCTGCGGAAAACACCACACAAGGAAGTCATGCTATAGTCATCCTTGCTTTGAAATCGTGCCGGGGCCTGGACCTAGACCGCGAAGCTGCGAAGTGGAGGGGGAGGTGGTGGTGGTGGAGAGGAGAGGATGGTTGCAGCGTCGCACATTCTGGACGAACGTGATTCGAGGCAGTCAATCCAACCACAGAAAAAAAGAAGAACGAAAGACGTAAGCGTGCAGGGTGATGGCACAGGATATTGTTATCAAGCAGGGCTGCGAGCAAGGGAACGCATAAGGTATCTGAGGACCTGTACCAAGTATGTCCTTCTGGCGTTTGTGGTGTGGTGATGATGGAGGAGCTGGGCGCAGGCAGACGCAGGCAGATGGAGATGTGAGGATTCGGCACCAGTGGATAAGAGACGAGATGAAGAACCGGCCGGTAGAATTGATTGTCATTGGATTTGACTCTTGATTTTGAATTGTTATTACATACTCGATCGCAATCGAAAACCTGGAACAGTGAGTTGCCAATCCTGTACGTCGATGGGCGGGCCGTGTATGTACAGACTACCATGGTAGGTCATATTCTTGTATGCCCGTCATGTGTACTTCGTTCCTTGGAGTGTCAATGCTGTTTACCATTGGGTACTGAATAAATTGGGCGCACCAAACGGACGAACGGCCTGCCACGACACAGGGAAATTCATGAAGAAACTCGGACGAAACCTGCATGCTCCAGGCCGTTAACCAGGGTGAATTATTATTACCTGCAGGAACCGCCTAAGTAACCGACATGCCCGGGCTACTGCAAGGTAATGGTAGGGGGAGTCCAGGTGGGTTGGTGGCCACTCTGGCGAGGATCGAGGGGCAAAGGGGCACCTACAGGGAGGTACAATCCCAGTTAAACAAACCAACTAACTTAGCCTGCCCGCATGATGCATGCACGCTGCACGCTTCAGCAATCACCCTTCACTTCACCACCCACATTCGAGGCCCTCTACCATCGCGCCCTCGTCAGCAGTGACTTGAATGGACAATTGAAGTCATTCACCCTCGCAGCACCACCAGATCAGCCTCTTAGTACTGCTTGGACTCTTGTTGTTATTATTGTTTTATTTCCTTATAAAAGAGATCTTCACTGATGCACCCGTCCCATCTCCACCTCTGTCCTCGATCCCCACGAAGAGCAACTTGTCGAGTACCCCCTAGTCACCATCACCATCACCGGAAAGAGGTGGTTGCTGAGTAGTGGTAGTGGAAACACGGGAATTGGATCGCTGAGATTCACACAAATCGGGACTGGACGAACAGAAATTCTCTCATACAAATCCTCACAAGTGGACAACGCGTTGTGCCGCTCTGCTACTCTCCCACTCCCTAGACTGCTCTTGCAGACTCTCAACTACGCGTGCATCTTGACCCTCACAAGTCCTGAGTTCACCATCCTTCGCAGCAGCCAGGCAACCTACCTAACTGGACGACTCTTACCTCTCTCACTACCGCTTTCGATTTACGTCTTCTGTTCCCGAGACCTGGAGCAATAGAAGGCCCTTGAACTTGTATCTGCACGCACGGTCCTGCATTGGTCAGCAGCTCCTAAGCAGACCAATCTCCTGCGCTGCCCGCACTGTCCCCCTGTATCGCAGGCCTGGCCGTCACAGCCACTGTGCAAACCCACCTGAACAGCTGGCTCCGTCTTTCCGGTGAGCACTGACCAGCATCACACAACTGGCAAAAGTTTTGGCTCACGAGGAGAAAAGGGCCAAGGGCCAAGGGCTTCCCCAAAGTTCAAAGGGTCTTGATTTCAGGTGTTGGACAGATCGTGAAATCTGCCTGCCTGCGCCTGCACACGATCCGCCCCTCAAACGTCCTTTTCATCACTTAAGGCCTCAGCAAGCCATCAAGGTCGCCCTCTGTCGCCCTCTCTCGACTGCTGCGCAATTTCTAGCCCCTCTTAGGC